TGGGACTCACTCACCAATGGGTTCCACCGTGTCCCCATGATCCACGAAGTCTCGTTTCCCCAGGTAGATGGAAAGCTGTAGTGAAACAACTTCCCATGTTATTCTCGTAACCATCTGGGAACATATTCACCTGAATCCCCAACCCAAACCCCTGAGACTCTGAAGGGCATATCCATGCATCCCTTTTGCCCTCTCATTTGCCCAACTGGGCCAGGTTCACTCACCTTCCCATTGGAGCAGGTCTTCTTAAACACCCTATGAAGAGAAAACCAGAAAGAGGATAGGGAGGAAGATTGGGAGACCAGGGAACAGTAGTGGGAAGGAGAGGAAAGAAAGAAGTATGGAGAAAAGGAGATATTCCTAGGATCAGAAGAGGCCCGAGGAGCATGAAATGGTGAAAAGGTGGAAGTAACTGGGGTAGAGTCTAAGTCACAAGTTGGGAGAGGTTAGAAACCCCTCTACCACAAAGGCAAGTACTTGAGTTTGGGTAGGAGCCAAGTCATAGGATCAAAGAATTAGGAGTTCTTACTTACCTGGAAATGTTGGCCATGGAGTTGATGTAGAGCCTCTCCTGGGAAGAGGGAAGGAAGGAGGACGAGTCAATCATTTGGTCCCTAGTCTCATTATCCCACTTTGGTATACCACCTAGACACACCTAGTGTAATGCAACCTTTCCTCTTTCAATCTACACCTCACCACCATGAAGAGGCTTTTCTATTCTCTCTCTTGCGAAGGCTACTTATTCAGCCATATTCTCACCCATCCCGTACATGAGAAAAATACTTTTCCTATTTTCTTTTACAAATGGTTGGCTAACCATACTCTCCATTCTTGAAAACCTTCGGAGGGAAGGGAATTGTCTGTGAAGGGGCTGGAGATAGACCTCCATTCAGAAAAGTGTGAGGAAAACTGGACTGGATGAGGCCGGGCATCACCTGACATACACCCAGATGTGTCTGATACCGAATGAATGAACAAACGAAAACCAGATTCTGTCTGCTTTTGCTCCTACAACGGATTCTGAGCCCAAGTTCACTCCACAACGGCCTTATCCCTGAGCTAGGAAAGGAGAGGCGTGGGAGAAAGAGGCTTGGTTTTCTCATGCTGTTCGTTATTGGTGGTGTCTGAAGCCTCCATGGAGGTCGAAAGCCTTCCTTGAACTTATTCACTGCTCTTATCGCCCTCTCCAAATTTTTCCATTCTTATCCCCATCCACGTCCCAGGTGCTAGACCTTGTAGTATGGACCCTTAGAGAGAGAATGATATCTCTCTAGTGCTTCCTTTTGCTGCATATCAGGTCTGGCCCCAGGGGTGAGCTTAGGGGTGCTTCCAGAGGTCTCTTGTAGGTTTTCTCAGCCTGAGTGCATGCTGGCTGTGTCAGGAAAGGTACCCCTCAACTGCTCCCTGATATATTAAAGGGGATGCTAAGGGTAAGGGATGTGGGGCCTAGTATGGGCTAGAAATAAAAGATTTTCAACTATTACCTGGAGAGAGAGATGAAGCTCACATCAGTCTCCAGCTCTGCTTGCTATGCTTCCTCCCCAGCCTCTTATACCCAAGTCCTGTGAATGCTCAGATTGGTGGGGGTCAGGAGAGAAGAATAGAGTTCTGGGGGTGGGGGTTGGAATGAAATGCTGATTTATAAATAGTTCAGGTGCCAAGAGTTTAGAAAGCAGATTAGTGGCTAAAAGATTAGTGGCTACGAGATTAGCGGGCTCTTCTATGTAGTTGTTTGAATCTGATGCTGTTCAAGGCAGAGCAGCTTGGGAAGGGGAAATACAGGGTTTGTGCCACGTGAGGCCTTGAACCTGAGGACGGGGATCCAAGTGGAGTCAGAGGCCTTAAAGGAAAAGCATGGTGAGGGATAGAAATAGGAGAGCTCAAAGTATAAGTCATCGTGTTTCTGAAGGGAGAGCTTTGCATCTCACTCATCTTTCTATATCGCTTGATCATCTATTACAGGCCACGCAAAAGCCAAGGGTATGGCAAAGAGGACCCTTCCCCAGCCCCCACCACTTAAGACTTGGGACTCTTTGACGTTTAGAAGCCCTGATTATCCTAGCTTATGTGCACAGCAGGAGTCAATCTCCTGTAAGAGGGAGGATGAGTGTATTGAGCTGTGCGTGAGCCTTGAACTTCTTTCCTTTTTGAAGAGAAAAGTAACCAAGGATTCTTGGCCCAGAGACAGGTTCTCCTGGCAGGATATTATTGCATGTGGAGGGAATAGGTAGTTGACATCTGCATCACTCCTATTTAGAGTAACCCCCACCCAGCTCCCGACCCCCTCCAATCCCTGAAACTAAGTCCACACTATAGGCTCTAAGCAGCTTCTCTTGCCTCATATGACCACTCACGGAATTAGAGATATTTCTGTCCTACAGCTGCCAGGATCCCCACAATGGCAGCGACAAAAGCAATCTTCTTTATTTAATTGTCCTTCCTACAGGGCCCAGGCCCGGGCTTCATGGACTTGGATAATGTAGAGGTAGAACCTCCAAGTTCTAGGGATACGGGGCCCTACACGCCTCGCCTCCCCTTGATGCTGGCTGGTCTTCAGTATCTATCCAGAGATGCAGCCTTCAGCTCTCCACAATGGGATATCCTTTCTTCAGAGGATGGCTATGGCCGTGGCTCAGAGGGCTGCACAGGGCCTTCCCTGCCTCCTGCTCCCCACTGCAGGCGCTGAATACTGTCCTGTATTCTCGTTGCACAGCCAGCCGTGTTAGTTATTGCCATTCCTTGCCAGGATGGACGCAGGCCCTTGTCTCTTAACTTGCTGTAACTCTCCCTCTCTGGCATTTTTAGGTAGAGCTAGAAGTCCAGACTCTGCAGGGGCCATAGTAGGATCGAAACTGGTGCTGGATATACAAGAAAGAGTCATATACTTGCCAAGGTTGATGTCTCTGAGGAGGTGAAAAGTCCGAGCGAAGGTACTTTTGGACTAGCCTGCAGCCTTTTTGTCTTCAGATCCACACTTGAGGCTCATTCCCTCTTTCAACTCAGGTTCATGGTCCTCTCAGCCGAGAAAGTAGA